TATATTTTTTTTTTTTTCAGATATGTACTGCTATAGTACAATATTTACTCATATCCTAGTACTGATATTTTATTTTTAGAGTAAATATTAAATAACTGTTTGTAGAATTCGATAGTATACAAAATGTATTCCCATAATACAATATTGGAGCAGCTCTAAACATTGATAATAAATACACAAGTACATATTTATTGATTACTTATAGAACTGGATAGTGTATATATGTATTCGTATACAGTATATACTGCCCATTTATTCGATGCCCATTAACGATAGGAGAAGATGCATAATACATAAATATATACACATGAATGATAGGAAAGCCAATTGAAGATTTCCACCCATGCATTTGTTTAATCAAATAGGAGGAGCAGCGTGTTATTTGAATGTCTGCACGGGCATGGTAGAGAGTGCGGATGTCATCAGTGGATCTGTTTATCTCAGACCTTTGTTCAAATAAGAATTCGTTGGCACATCGGAACTGAGCTTCCAGCAGCTCCCGGAAATCATTTCCTAAGCAAATTGGCACAGTGATGAGCAGCACACGTCCAGGCAATGCTCGCAGGCTGCAGGATAGGCGCTGCTCCACGTGTCCGGCGGTCGCTCACCGCCCGCTGCCCCCGTACACACTGCGCGCTGCCCCATACACACTGCCCGCGGCCCCTTGTATTCTTTCCAGTCTGCTTATGTTGAAGTAGCCCTATTGCTGTAACAATGACTATTATCTCTTAGATTATGATTTGTATATATTAGCTCTATAGGGATATCAGTTTAGAGTGACTGTCCATCTTGCATGAGCACAGTGGTCTACATTTAATTTAAACCATTCTGTCCCACTTGTATGCATTTAGTTAGTACTGTCGGTCCAATACGTATGGGAAGTGGCCTTCGTAGCAAGAAAGAAAGCTAGATTTAATTATGGGATATTATCTTGCCTCGTGTGGGAATAGCTTTCGGTTCAGTTATAGTATAGGGGTAGCTGTATATTAAGTTTCAGTATACCTGGCTTTATAACATAGGGGTAATTTTATATATTCAGTTTCAGTATACCTGGCCTTATATATGACATAGTGGTTGTTGTATATATTCAGTTTAATTATACTTGGCCTTATGACATAGGGGTAGTTGTATATATTCAGTTTCAGTACTTGACCTCATGACATAGGGGTAGTTGTGTTTTCATTATACCTGGCTTTATGACATAGGGGTAGTTGTGTATTCAGTATACCTGGCCTTATGACATAGGGGTAGTTGTGTATTCAGTACCTGGCTGTATGACATGGTAGTTGTGTATTCAGTATACCTAGCCTTATGACATAGGGCTAGTTGTATATATTCAGTTTCAGTATATCTGGCCTTATGACATGGGGGCAGTTGTGCATATTCAGCTTCAGTATACCTGCCATTCTGTCTGATGGGTGAAGTTGTCTGAGTGGACTTTCAGTCCAGTGAAATGTGATGTAGGGTGTTAATTCGTATAAGCAGGTGGGATTGCAGTGTCTCCGGCCCTTGCAATGATCTAGTCATGCTGATTGTCGTTTTGTGAAGGGACAATCTGTTAAAAATGTCTTGTTTAGATGTATTGATTATCTGCGAGTAAAATATCTATTTTGGGATAGCTATAAGAACAGGGATGTGGAGGCTTGCATTCCAGAATAGTAGGTGTAGTCAATGTCAAAGGGAAGATAATTGACTTGTATTGAGAGTTGTCACCTGTATTCAGTGACAGCAGGGCGCTCACCAGTGTCTCTTGTGTGCAGTGTCCCCAGACATGAAGGAACGGAAGGATGATCTGAAGGTGCTGGAAGAGGAGAGCCAGACTAAAATCAAGCAAAGACGGAGCCGGACTAATTTCACTCTGGAGCAGCTAAACGAGCTTGAAAGACTGTTTGATGAGACTCACTATCCTGATGCCTTCATGAGGGAAGAACTGAGCCAGAGGCTGGGGCTCTCAGAGGCCAGAGTACAGGTACCATCTACTGGCCTAACCAATGAGCCCACTTGTCACTGTTAACCCCCATTCAGATCAGGAGCCCAGCCCATGTCAAGGCTTGCCCTGGGACCAAGGCTTACTTTCCCCCATTCAGATCAAGAGCCCATGTCTACCTCCCTCTGCTAGCTTAAGAAAAAGCTTTACTTTCCCCATTCATACCACGAGCCCTTGTCTACCTGTCAGTGACATCCCTGGGTACAAGCTTTTACCATTCTCCCCATTAAGACTATAAGCCCAGCATGTCAATCTGTCACTGCTATCCCTGGGAAAAAGCCTTATTTACCCCAATCTTATCATAAACCCATATCTACCTCTCACTGCTAGGCCTGGGAACAAACCTTTACTTCCCCCCTCTTTTAGTGCATGAGCTTGTAGCCTATGTCTACCTCATAGTCCTCCTGATCAGATCCTGAGCCCATGTCTACCTGTCACTGTTACCCTGGGAGCAAACCTCACTTGCCCCATTCATTTAATTTATCTCCATTACTAACCTCAATTTCCAACACGTCCATTTATTTAGCAACTGTCATTTGTCTATATCCCGGTATTTCCTTTCTAATGATCGGAGGAGCCACCTTAGATCAAAGAAAATCTCGGAATACTACGGAATTAAGAGCATCTGATTATTTATTACTTACGAATAGATAGAATGTGAGAAAAGATCACTTCATTTTGGTATACACTAGGACACAGCGATACAATGCCATGGCCATTTAAAAAGATAATAATACTAGACAATTTGTTTGTTTGTGCATTTTAAATGTGATCTATATTTCTTACAATTTTCTGAAACTCGGTGTAATTAGTTCCTGCAAACAAATGCGGTTATATGTATATAGTGTGTCAAAGGTCTCGATCTGCCCTGAAAGTGCCCCGAACTCTGGGGTGACAGGAGCTCACTTATGGGACTCACTGAAGTACAACATGAATAGACCATCCAACGCTTCCTGACAAATGTACTTCTTATTTCTTTATTTCATAACTACTGAATACATGACTACA